TGTAGTAGAACTTGACTATCAGTTGGCAGATCTGAAAGAACTCTAGGGGCCTAAAAAAAGGGAACAGTGACCAGAATAGTGTGTGTGTGTGTGTGTGTGTGTGTGTGTTGCTGAGGACTGAACCCAAGGCCTTGCACATGCTAAGCAAGCACTCTAACACTGAGCCACAACCTGGCCCAGTGGTTCCTTTCAAGAGCACATCCCAGCTTTGTCAATTGGACCTGATGTCTAGCACCACTTCCTGAAAAGAGTCTGGCTTCCTGCATGTGAAAACTGCCTGCCACATAGCCCATGAAAGACAGCAGTTTCTCTTCTCTGGGTAATCTGGCTGGTTCCATGAAAAACAGCCATTGTGTTTTTTCTTTGGTACTATAGCTTTTGAAAATCATCTATGGAAAATACTTAAACTTTCTCTCTGACTTGAATCTTATGTCTTGAATAAGAAATAAGAATATGCCGGGTGCTGTGGTGCGTACCTGTAATTCCAGATTCAGGAGGCTGAGGCAGGAGGATTACAAGTTCAAAGCCAGCCTTAACAACGGTGAGGCGCTAATCAACTTAGTGAGACCTTGTCTCTAAATAAAATACAAAATAGGGTTGGGGATGTGGCTCACTGGTCAAGTGCTCCTGTGTTCAATTTCTGGTATCCAAAATAAAACAAAAAAAGAAATAAAAATATGATTAAAGGCTTGAATATATCTTAGTAATGTGGTCATCATTGCAAAATCTGGGCAAATGTGGAAACATGTACATCCAACTGTTCAGTGAATAACTCTCACTAGGAAAATGAAGAAACAGTTATAATTACATCAAGCTGGACCCTGCCTCAGGTTCTTTTGCAGTTTTTGTTCCCTGATCCTTATTCCTGGTCATCCAGGCTTCAGCTCAAATGTCACAGTCACAGAGAAGTTTCCTTGACTCTCAACCTAACACCTTCTGTCCCATCCAACTATGCTCAATCACTTTATCACATTCCTTGGTATCAGTGTGGCCAGCACCTTGTCAGAGCAGGTTTCTGACCAGGAGGTGTGAGCTGCTTGGGAAAATAAAAAGTCTGAAGTAATCAGTAAGGAATGTGACAAAGCCAAAGATCAATTTAAAATGTGGAGAACCTGATGGGTCTTCCAGTCCTGAGGGGAACTGGAACTACAGAAAAAGGTCCCGATTCTTTATTTACGGGGGAGTATATAAAAGGCAGGGATAAGGTTTCAATGGGAGGCATCTTCTTTCAGTGCTTGTGGTGCTGCTTTCCCGTGCAGGGGTCTTGTAGTAAACAGTTTGATTGGCATTTAGCCAACTGGGAAGCTTTGCTTGAATTTGTGAGCTAGGACAGGATACCACGTGACTTGGGCATTCTCAAACCAGAGGATTCCCACTGGGAATTCCCAAAATCAGGCTTCCCTGCCTAATGGTTCAAATGTTACCCACTTCACACACAGCTCATGGATGGCTTCCTACACCTTGATTTAATCTCTTCTTAGAGTTTATCATGACTTGAAGTCACTTACTTACTCCTTTTCTAGTTTATCTGTATCCCTAACTGGATTATAAACTCCAAAGAGCAGGGACTTAGTCAGTCTTTTTCATTGCAGTAATTTGTATGATAAGAATAAAAAATGCCTGAGTAGACTTGGAAGGAAAATAAGAAAACTGTCATTTATAAAAACAAAACAAAAAACTTAATAGGTAGAACTTTTTGAATGCTTGAGAGGGAGTGAAGCATTCAAACTTCTGCTCTCCTTTATTCATCTAAAGCACATGTTTGTTAGATCTGTGTTTGTCTATATCACAGCTTAAGGAATTAAGTTGGGGAATATTTAGGATACTTTTTCCAGATCCCAGATCCCTGACATCAAAGAGAACATTTCACAACAGTTGTACTAGGATGTTTTGGCTTCAAATAATTCAGATCCTGTCCTGTGGGAGGATGGGCTCAAGGTTGGTTGATTTAGCAGCTTAAAATGCAATCAGGGACTCAGATTCTTTCTTTTTTCTGCTCTACTGACATCACATTCTAACCATGCAAGACAATAAGAAGAAGAGAAATGCTTCTTGCTCTGCACCTCTGCCTCAACAGATTCCTTCCAGGTTCTCATGGGCCATAATTAGGAACATACCCACTGTGGAACAAATCACTGGTGAGGAAATGAGATTACCCAGACTTGATCAGATCATCCTTGAACCTGGGGGAGAGGCAGGTATATGAACAAAGAGGAAGTTCTTTGGGGACCTGGGGTAAGGGAAAAGTGTTGTGCTTTGTTGGGCAGCAACAGATAATGAAGTACATAAAACTTTTTATCCTATGTTTTGTAGTGTGTAAAGACTTGTTAAGGATTCTGGGGATTGAGGCAGACCAGAGACCCGTATAATTACAGATCTTTGTTTTAAGTCCAAGTTTCTTCTGAACAGCATGAGGAAGAATTTTGATTTGTGTGCAGACAGCTCCTACTCATCAAGAAAGAGGGCAGAAAGAAACTTGGTTCCTTATTCAGCTGTTTGGATCCCACCCTGCCGCAGTCTGTCTGGCTGCAGCAAAATAACCGGGGGGTGACGAATAACTTGTGTACGTTGATACAGCAGGAGTAGGAGCCGTTTATTGCAGGACAGGAGCAGTATTTATACATTCCACACAGCTTATCTTATTAGCATAAACTAGATACATCAGTCAACCAATAAGGAATCTCCACACTTAATAGCTCGCTTTTGTTACTTCTCAAACCACTCCCTCTGGCATTTTGCCAGGCACCATTCAGACTTGTTTACGAACTCTAACATTCCCCTGGCAAAATGCCAGGTGTTATTTTTGACTTGTTTACAGACTCTAACATTTCCCCCTTTTGTTTAATTTAAATAACGACCATAGTGGTTTTTACAGAAACACCATAAATAACCTGCTACAAACAGAAAGGGAGGATACAAAATGCCGCAATACCAAGCCACTTGATGGCTCCATGCAAGAAGCCCTTGGAAAAATTATACCAGCAATGACACTGTTAGCAAAGATACCGAGTTACAATTTGTTATAGATTACAGTTTGTTGTCTCAGTCCAGGTAAAGTAGTGTCTCAATAGATTAACTCACAGTCCAGGTAAATCACAGTCCAGGTAAGTTCTGCAGGCAGCTAGCTTAAATCACAGTCCAGGTAAGTTCTGCAGGCAGCTAGCTTAAATCACAGTCCAGGTAAGTTCTGCAGGCAGCTAGCTTGATCCGAAGTCTCGTCCGGTTCTCAGCTGAAATCTCAGTCCGGTTCTCAGCAACACTGGGAATTCTTCCATTTTGGTCTTTACCGGCACTGGGACGAAGGCAGGAACTCCGGATGGCTAAAGAAAATCCTGTAGCATTCTACTAAGAAAACAACCTTCTGAACAATTTAGTACATTATATCAAGGTTTTTTTGCATTTGAAATAAGCATTCACGCACCCTCAGGTAACGAAAAGTATTTAGTAATAGCCTTTTGCTGCAACTTTTTTTTCTGATAATCCTTCTTCTGAACTTTCTTTTTCTTTCTGACTAGCGTTCTTGGGCTTTTATCAACACATGCCCTAACTATTCTTGGTTCCACTGGGGTGCCTTCTTCCCTTAGTAATTTACTTCTCACCCCTTCCATATTTTCATCACAAAGACAATACAATACACTGAGACAAAACAAGACACAAACATACTGTATCAATCTTCTCCATTTTCTCGAAATGGCCATTTTTCCTCTCGCCCTATCTGCCTAGGGACGAGCAGATTTGCTCCCGTCCTATCTATGGACGGGCAGCTTTTTTCGTCACTTACCCCCAAGTGTCCCGGGGCTCCCCGTATGGGCCACCATCTGCCGCAGTCTGTCTGGCTGCAGCAAAATAACCGGGGGGTGACGAATAACTTGTGTACGTTGATACAGCAGGAGTAGGAGCCGTTTATTGCAGGACAGGAGCAGTATTTATACATTCCACACAGCTTATCTTATTAGCATAAACTAGATACATCAGTCAACCAATAAGGAATCTCCACACTTAATAGCTCGCTTTTGTTACTTCTCAAACCACTCCCTCTGGCATTTTGCCAGGCACCATTCAGACTTGTTTACGAACTCTAACATTCCCCTGGCAAAATGCCAGGTGTTATTTTTGACTTGTTTACAGACTCTAACACCACCCTGTTGTTAGAGAAGTACAGACTGTTCTGTAGAACCCATCTCATTTGCATAGGCTTCTCCATTTTGTTATCATATCCTTCCCCAAAGCCTAAGAACAAAGTTTAAGGATTGTTTGGGGAGTTGAGGGAGGTAGAAATTGGAGTGTCAGAATGGAAGGAATGGCACAGCCAGACCATTTCCTATTCACTTTCTCTGATCTGTTTATAGCCAATTAAAGTAACTTTTATATTATTCTTCTATTGGAGCTTTTTGTTTGTTTGTCTCTTCATAAGTTGAGACTAAGAAGACAATAAATAAGGGGAATGATGGCCCAACATATTCAAAACACCTCAGCCTCTAGGTTATCACCAATTGCTTACCTTCAAAGGATGGTTGCAATGCAAAGAGCATATCAAGCCAGGCAATGTCATGGAGAGGTGGGATTTGATGTTTGGTAATATATATATTTAATATTTTAAAGATATTAAACAATTTGTGGTAAGTTTTTAATTAAGGTCTATTCTTGTTTCTCATTATTTGTCACTTGTATTTTGATAGACTCATATGACCTATTAACCTGCCAGTTTGAGACTCTTCCCTGTCCTCATGCCTTATCTGATCAGTGACCTAGTTTTGTCCATTTGTTCCTTTTCATAACAATTCACTCAGTCTTGGCCCCTGCCACAATACAGGCAAATATATTTATGCTTGAGTTCTTCCTCAGTTATTTTTTAAGTGCCTCATGGCTAAAGATAGGCTATTTTCTTTTTTAATGTTTCTGGTAACTTCTGATAACAATCAAAAGACCAGACAGAAAAGTGAGAAAATCATTGTTTATTGATTTCTTATTGATATTTTCTCTTCTGATTTTGGTTTTAGATTCTAATGAAAACAGTTGCACCAGAAATATCCTGGTCATCCTTGGCTTTTCCTGTGTCATATCCGTGATAGTTTTGATCGCTGTGGGGATTTCCCAGAACAAACCATTACCACAAAATGTTAAGGCAAGTCAAATCCATGTGTGTTTGTGTGCGTGTGTCTGTGTGTGTGTGTGTTTGTGTATGTGTGTGTGTGTGTGTGTGTGTGTGTGTGTGTGAGAGAGAGAGAGAGAGAGAGAGAGAGAGAGAGAGAGAGAGAGAGGGAAAGCCCCAAGCGGAGTGTGGAAAGGGGTGTGAGGATAAATTAGCGCATACGGGAAGAACTGAGGATAAGGATACAGCTCCCAGTTACAAGTTACAATCCATTGGATGAGGGAGATAAAATGGAAACAGATGCTCATTTTGTAAGAGGAAATGCCTTGATTAAATTAGTAGCAGGAAGATAACTGCCTTTATTATTGTTCAGCCACTCAGTAGGTCAGCCCTTCAACAAAGATGACTACTTCATTAACCTCATCCACACCTTTGTTGTACCATGTTCTATGGTCACAGTCATATGCTCATATCCTAGGGTCTAGTTTTATCTCTACAACTTACTCATTTTTCATCATGGGTCAATCACAACACTGCACTCTGCTCTTTTTGCTCTGTTATTATCACTATCACCAAAATAATAAAATTTATTAGCTCTGTATAAAGCATATCAGAAATCAAAGATTATAGAGAAGATGTGTTTCTTATCTTCAAAAATATAGAGAAAGCAGGAAAATAAATACAAAAAGGTGAAAGGATGTCTGCATGTATCAAACAGAGTCATTTGAAATAAATTCTTAGGAAAATTTCTTGTGAAATTTCTACATTTAAAGAGCTAGTTAAAGTCATTAAAATCATTAGGCTTATTAACATTCTGTGTTGTATTTCTGCTTCATTTTCAGTTTATTAAAGTCTTGAATTATGTTCATTATTTAATCTGTTCATTAAAAAACAAAACATGCAGTAAATTTATATTTATTGAAAACATACCACTTTAAACTTGCACTGAAGTGAGAGTAAACAAATCTATAAAGGTCAGGCTGGTACAAACATGCTAACAAGCACACATGTGCACATGGGCAATGGAATATCCAGAGGTTGACTTAACTACAGAGGTCCTTGAACGTGTGTGCAAAAGTACATTCTCTGGTATTTAAGGTGATGACCTGTGAGGCTGGATGGATGAATGCACATGCCAGGGTTCTGAAACTTATGCCTCCCACCCAAAGCTCTTGCGATAAAGAAGAGGAGTGGGTGTTACATTGGTGTCCTTTTGTCACACAAGTTTGCCCCAGTGAGGCTGAGTGCAGCAGCTGCTTTGTCTAGACAGAAGGCCGAGGCTGTCTCACTGTCCATGCTCTCTTGCCTTTTAATGTTGAGTGATGTTGGTTCTCTTGGCAAAACTTCACTCACAGTAGAAGGCTCATGACATCTTGGTTCTGCTATTTGTTTACCAGCTCCAAAAGAGCATGACTGCCTTCTTGATATGACCTTTTTGTATGTTCAGTGTTACATCACTGGAGAGAAGGACTGCCCAGAAGGCAAAATCCATGACAGACTCAGGCTCTGTGCTCCCAGTGAATACTTGTGGTCATGGATGACTTTCCTTCATTCACTCTGGTCTTCAAGTCCATTGTGCTTCTGTGTTGTTATGCTGGCCTGGCAAATGGAACAAGGACTTTGGCATTCTTTCAGTCAAAGGTATGGGTATTTGAAGAGCAGCCACTGACATTGAAATGAATCTATGTTACATCACTGATTTATTTCACACAAAGGTAGTTTGATATAAGAAAACTAGCTATCTGTTGAGATTGTGTACTAATTTAAGTATGAATTCTGCCACATAAAAAGGAGAAAAAAATTGGGCAATACAAACACAGAATAGTTCCATCACTGCAGAAAGTTCTACTGAACATTGCAACTTTAGAGTAAACTCTTTGAAATATCTGTGAAAACATTCAAAGCTAGGTTATATGAATAAGGTATGTGATAAAACATTTTATAAAATCTAAAGTAAGGGAAAAAATGAAACATTTTTGTGTGACTTGTAAACTAGTACCAGGATCATCCCTAGATATCATGGCTACTAAAGCATTTTAGGTGGTTAATTGGAATAATGTACAATCGTCTTTCAGTATCTTTGAGGGATTAGTTCCAAGACTGCCTCATAGATTCCCAAATCTGTAGATGCTCAAGTCTTTTATATAAAATGGGAGATTATTTGCATAAAATGACTGTACATCCTCCAACATGTTTTAAATCATCTCTAGATTACTTATAATAGCTTATATAATATACATTGTATGTAAGTGGTAGTTATACTCTATTTTTTAGATAATAATGACAGGAAAAAATAGTCTTAATGTTTAGTATAGATGCAGTTATTTTCAAATACTCTTGCTCCTTAGTTGGTTGGATCCATGGGTGTGGAATTCACAGAGATAGAAGGCTGACTGTTTTGTGTCTACAAATTACCACTTAAAAAATAACATTATTTGGACATTTGTTCTGTGCTGATGATCCAATATTGTGTTATATCTGCTGACCCTATCTGGCTTCAGCCTTGTTGGGGAGGTGGTGGCCTCATGCCTGGGGCACATCTGCACAACACTGCCACAACTCCTTGTTGTACTGATGTTTTTACTTGGCCAGATACTGCTAGGGTATGCAGACAGTGGCTAGGTTTCATTTGTCTTCACATACATTTTATTTGTTCATTGACTTAACAAAAAGTCTTTGAACATCAGCTCTATTTTCAGTTTTGGAGAGAGAGTGATAAGCAAAATTGGCAAAGTACATGCCCTCATTGAGTCTAGTGAGGGAAATAATCATTAATCAAATAAGCACAAAGTAAAGTTCAATTACAAAGAACAAAACATCTGAATTGGGTGGTGGCTTCCCAAAATTTATTGACTCAGTGGATAAAGTGAACATCTTGAATAGATAAAACTGCTCCCTTCTTGGATGTGAAGGGCACAGGACCTACCTTGCAGCAGGGAGCATCAGTGTGGGAAGCAGACCCTTGCTTCAGGACCCTCTAGAGATCCCGGTCACCCACTGTCACCCTAGTGCCTTCTCAGGGCCTGGGGATCTACTCCTTAATTGCCTGCTCCCCACTGCACACTGGGAGTTGGCGTACTGTCACATTAGCATGAACATCCCACATTTTGGCACACAGACTGGCCAATGTGAAATCACATGCCTTCCTTAAAAGTTGCCACTTACATGGAATATAGCCTCAGTGACTAGACTGTTTTCATTTTGTTTCCAGATCTACTGTTTTCTAGTTGAGACTTTGGGTAATTAAATTCCTCAGTTTTCACATACAAAGAGATAATAACAGTACCTACTTGGAGAATGGTTGTGGGGATTAAATGGTATAAAATATATGACTGACTTCTCAGAGTGCTGAGCACATCAGAAGCCCTCAGCAGACACCAAATGTCAACATTGCTTTACTGAAGATGTATTCTATGAAAGACCTCAAGCTTGTAGGGTGGTATACATAGCTAGCACTCTGTAGGGGTTCTGACTGCTGCTAAAAGGTAATTGCTCTTCCCCATGCCTTTATTTTTTCAAAATGAACTAAAGTGCTACTCTTAGATTAGTATTTCTGATTTTGTTTTTATGAAGAATTTGCTTTGCATTCCAAATACTCTTGGAAAATATCTGTATTAATTTTATTCTACTGGACTTTAACATTATCTGCATTAGAAAATAGCATCTGGAGATGGATTATGGTCATAGTTTTAGAACAATGTGAATATACTTAATTCCATGGAACTGTATACTTAAAAATGGTTAAAATGCTAAATTTTGTGTTATGTGTATTTTACCACTGTTTATAAGACAAATGACAAAGCAAAGCAGTAGTTTGTATTGAAGACGTAGCATCTCATTTAAAGAAAAAGAGAAACGAGAAAGGAAGAAAATGGTCTGTAAATGTTTATAGGTCCTGCTTGCATCTCTATAATTAATCTGGTTTGTTTATAGAGTACTAGAGTCACATTCAAAGGATAAGCTTTGTTTATATACCAGCCTTTCTAAGCCAGACTGATGAGATGGATAATGTTATTGCTAAAGCTCAGGAACTTTGAAGAAAGCTTTTGAAGAAACAGTATGTCTAAAGGAACCTGTGAAATTAGTGATCACACTGTTGCCTGTGTTGCCTGCTATCATAGTTTATTTTGAGTTGCTCTAACAGAATGCCACAGACAAGATAATTTATAAAACACAGAAATTAATTTTCTCATTAATCTGGAGACTGAGAGAAAACAGCATCTGGATCAAGCACCCAGCATGTTTGGTATCTTGTAAGGTGCTAGTTTTTTTTCCAAGATGGCAACTTAAATACTATATCTCAGGAAAGGAAAAACACTGTTCCTGGTATAGCAGTCAAGAAGAGGAGGGCAGATGCAGATGTACTTTCATTAAGCCATATTTGTCATTAATCCATTCCTGGAAGCAGAGCTTTTAGGTTTTAAACACTCTCATTAGGGCCCCCCCCCACCCAACTACTGTTGTGTTGTTGATTGTGTTTCCAAACAATAATATTGCAGGGGAAACATTCTCCTGGCTTATAAGGTATTTGGAGGATTGCATGAAACCATTCCAATGCCACTTCTTTATATTAGATTGTGTTAATCTCTTTTAGGATTGCAAGGAATTTAGGAAACATATAGTTCCATCCTCCCTTTGTTTTTTCATCTGACTCGACAATATCTGCTGGATTCCTTTTTTTTTTTTTTGCTTAATATTTAGTAGTATATACCATGGAGGATGCTGGCTATACTGTGGAAAGTACAGTAGATCTACCCTCATGTGGGTTAAAATCTAATGGGAAAAACAGACATTAATCAAATAGCTACATAAATACATAATTACAAAATGTGCTCAGTGTTGTCTTTATAAGAAAAAGACAAGCATTCTAATTAGGATGGTAGAACCTAATCAGAGGAGAACAGAGAAGGTGGGGATCTCAGGTGAGGGGCTTTCTGGATAATGGCACTGGAGCATAAATTGTGTGGCCCATAGACAGGTATAAGCAGGCCAGTGCAACCGTAATTGTTAAACAAGGAGATTTAGACAAGAAGATTCAATGTCCCACTTCTGGAGAGTCAGGAAGAACCTCTGACACTCCAGTTTTCTCTTTCTTGCTACCTAAAGAGATTACACAAAAGCCTGGAACCATGATATTTGTGCAGGTAGAATTATTTCCATCCCAAGGAGTGGTCTGCCTTACCTTCATGTGGCCTCTAGTCTCAGTGAGCTCAGGATCTGTTGCCATCCACATTTACATGTCTTCACAAGGCCACAAGGGCGCTGGTGGCCCTATCCATCAGGGAAAGTCATTTCTACGGTTCTGCTTCCCAGACCATCACTTCTGTTCATGAGACATTGCTCATGAAGATCAGTTATGCTCACTAAAATCATGTGCATGATCAAAATTAGCTTAGGACAAGATTGTATGCACAGTTAAGATTACAACTGTATTAAAATATTTATTGAAAAAAGACTAGAAAAAAATTAACACATTATTTTTAGGAATAAAATAAAAATATGTAGATGGAATGTTAAATGTCATTTTTTTCTGTTCATTTTCTAAGTGATTAACTTTTAGTACTCTTAAAATAGAAAATAATATTAAAAGAACAATAAAGGATTGACACCACTTGAATCTTTGATTTTTTTTTCTTTGATATGAAGGACATGTTCACATGGGCTTTTAGAAATGTTTTAAGTATGAGCCACAAAGAAACACTGGGTTCTTCCACTGCCAGGCTTCTCTGAGACATTCACTAGATAATAGGCTTGTTAGGCTAGGAGGGGGATAGAGCAGGAACATTCCCTAAGCTTCTGGGAAGCTTTATATGCTGAGATGCTTTCTGAAATGCGCCCTGGAAAAAATGCTGTGGTGATGAGAAAAAAACAAAAAGTGGTAGCTACCTGGGCTACAGGTAGACCCTATAGCCACGAAAGGCATACTACCCAAATGCCCAAACTGAGAGCTTCCAGAAAAGCAAGCTTTAGCTATCTCAAGAAAAGAACCAATTTTTTAATTTTGCAAAAGATTTCAGAAGAAAGAAGAGACAAATTTGGTGCAGCTCAACAGGTTAGCATTGTATGCTGTAAACAAAAGGTAAAATGTCCTCAATTCTTGAGTAAAAATGCACTCTGCCCCCTTTTAAAATGCTTGCAAACAAAATGTAGTAAATGCTTTCATTTCTCAACCACCTCACTGTGCAGGGCCTTAGAGAAGCAGGCTGAGAGAAGGAAGCCTGGCAACTTGGAAGGGTTACTTTCGTGTCTACAGTTGGAATAGAATGTTCCAATTCCAGATAAAAGTGGCTATTGTTGCTGCCTCGCTACCTTTTATCATATGTCCTTGCAGTTGGAAAAATTTTGGCAGAGAGAATTCAGGAACCCTGCTATTAAACAATAGAATTTTCTACTGTGTAACTCTTTTTCCACCCTGGGAAGTTTCCCACGGTTCCAGAGACTCTGGGCCCTAGTCAGTGTCCCTTTCTGCCCACAAAGGCTGCTAAAGCCTTTCTAGGATTCCTTTGATAACAAGCCTAGATGCAAGGTCTGTCCAACCTGCTTGCTTGCCCTGCCCAGGGCCTTTCTTTCTGAGGGCAAAATGCTAGTGCCTAGACGGGCTCCCTGTGGTGCACGAGAAGGCAGGGAACACTGTGAAGATTGACAGGCTCAAGGGTACTCACACCAGTACTGCTTCCTGGTCTGTAGTGAAGTGCATTGAAGTTGGTCACTCAAGAGGCCCTATCTTTAGCTATTCCTAGTGGTCCGGGGAGGTCTCATTCTTGTCCTAGTTTCTCCCTGGAGGTTTTTAAGTCCTCCTACTTGGTAAGACAATGTGAGGATGGCAGTGGCGAGGTGGGGTGAGAGCTAAATTAAATGCTTTCAAATGGCAGACCACACTTTGAGGTCCTCAGTGAAATAAGCAGCAAAGTGTGACAAGGGTTGGCTCACATTTCAGAAGTGCCTCCTTTGCTTCTCTTCCTTTTGCTTCCCCATATACTTCCCTCCATGTTTCTCTCTAGGATAGAGATCATAGAAAGTGCATGTGCCACCATATTATCAACACAAGCCCATGGCAGATGTCATTAATCTCCATGGCATTTTTTCCTCCTGATTCAGCTCAGGGATATAACCAAAGTGAGTACAAACTGATAAAAATGGGCATTTGGCAGTCTACTCCTGGGTAGATACCAAAGAAAATGAGAGCTTATTTCCACAAAATGCAATGTGCTAGAATGTCCCTGGCACCTATACTGCCAACATCCCCCAACAAAATGTGTAGTATATGCATATGATGAAATATTCTGTAATAATGGAAAAGGAAGAAGTACTGATACACACAGTTTGAATGTACCTTACAGATGCAGGGTAAAGTTAAACAGAAAAGAGGAGCACACTATGTGAATCCTATTTATTGCAGTACAAAAACAGGCAGAACTCATCAATGGTGATGGAACTCAAGACAGTGGTTACACGTGGGGCAAAATGACTAAGAGGGCTATTAGGAATCCTACTGGGCAGCTAGAAAATGTTCTGTACCCTGATATTCCTGTACAGCTAGGCTTCTAGTATAACCATCACCAAATAGTTGTTGGTGGTTATACAGATGTGCACATTTGCAGAATTTCAGAGATACACATCTAAGATTTGTGTAATTTTTTTATAGTCAATTTTACCAGTTTGAAAACGATTCCCCATCCCTTGCTTCTCTTTCCATGTATAAGGCCTTAAGCATACAGTCTTGAGTCTGACTGTAATTCAGATTCATGCTCTATCCCCTATTGGCTTTGTATATTGAATAAATTACTTAACTTTTTGTACTTTAGCTTCTCACCTCTATAGAAGAAATAAAAATAGCACCTACTTTATAGAACTATTCTGCTTCATATTACATGTGCCTAGCACATTTAATGCACTTCTGTAATATAGTATGGTAGTTTTGTTCTTCTCCCTCTCTCCTCTGACCATCTAGTTCTTCTTTAAACTGTTTTCCTTTTCTCCCCCCTTTTTTTTTCTTTCTTTACTCTCCCCTTACTCTTTATGAAGATTGAGCTGAAATCTTATGAATACAATTTCAAAATTAATGACACAATTAAAAAGCAAGTACATTTAATATTTTCTATGCCTCTCTTTAAAAAAAATCATATTACTGAACTAAAATTAGAAGAAGGTATTGATTATTGGCTTTGAAACTTTCAATGGATTAATAATGGTTCCCCAACTTTTCTGTACAACACAATCACAAGGGATTGCATAAAAATTACCAAGCCCAGGCCCACATACCAGACCCATTAGATCACAGTATCTGGTAGGGGACACAGGCATCATGGTCTGTGCAGCTCTTCAGGTGGTTTCAGTGTGTAGACAAGTCTGGCAACTACTACATTACTTGCTTTCTGTTCATTCCTTGGGGATCTGAATTTTTGCTGTACCTTAGAATGACCTAAGAAGTTTCTAACTAATATTTCCACTCAGGTTCTGCCCTGGGTAAGGCCTGACATTTCTAATGTTCAGTCAGCATAGAGAGCTTTGCCCTAAAAAGACAGGTGTCTTGGTCACTTTACTGATCCAGGTAACTACAGCCCTCCATCCTGGCCTAGTGTTCCTCTCAAATCAAAATGCTTTCTTAATTAGGTGCAGTGGTGCACGCCTGAAATGCCAGCATCTCGGGAGGCTGAGGCAGGAGGGTCACGAGTTCACAGCTAGACTCAGCAACTTAGCAGGGCATTTAGCAACTCAGTGAGATCCTGTCTCTAAATAAAATATAGAAAAGGGCTGGGAATGTTGCTCAGTGGTTAAGCAACCCTGGGTTCAATCCCAAATACAAAAAAAAAAAAAAGTTTTCTCCTTGTGGTTTTGATAACCCTGTCCTTGTCACATTTCTGTTGAAAGCTGAATATGAAGAATGATGTGATACTGATAAGTTTTTGTTTTGTTTTGCCTTCAGTATGGAATTGTGCTGGATGCAGGCTCTTCTCACACAAGTTTGTACATCTACAGCTGGCCATCTGAAAAGGAGAATGACACAGGGATAGTTCAACAGATAGAAGAATGCCAAGTGGCCGGTAAGGTGAAGAAAAGGGAAGGGGACACAGTGGGATATGTGAACATGAGAGGCTATGAAAGCAGAGCAGAAGAGGAGAAGGAGTCCCAAATATAGGATGCCAATGAAGAACACAGTGGAGCTGCTATTGTAACTTTTTACCATCATAAAAATAATATCAAAATTAGTCCTTAATGATCAATCCCTTGGAAAATAAGCAAATCTATAAATAATTGTAGCTTAGTGATAGAGTAGCATGATAATATACACCAGGCCCCAGCAACACACACACACACACACACACACACACGATGGAAGTAATTAAGTAATACCAATTCCCCACTAATGGATCACTTCTGTGTGTCTTGCACTGACCAAGAACTAAACATTTTTTATTTCATGTCATCCTATATCTTCCTGCTGAGGTAGGTATTATATCCTATTTTTTTTGCACTTTCATTTATTTATTTTAAATCGTTATATATGACAACAGAATGCATTACAATTCATATTACACATATAGAGCACAATTTTTCCTATCTCTGGTGGTACACAAAGTAAAGTCACATCCTTTGTGTCTTTATACATGTACTAAAGGTAATGATGACCATCGCTTTCCACTGTCTTTCCTACCCCTAAGCCCCCTCCCTTCTCCTCCCTCCTCTTTCCCCTTTGCCCTAGCTAGAGTTCATTTAATCCTCCCATTCTGCCCTCACCACATTGCAGCATATTATGAATCAGTATCCTTATATCAGAGAAATAATCAGCATTTGATTTTTTGGGATTATGCTAAAGCATAATATTCTCCAGATATATCCATTTACCTGCAAATGCCATGATTTTATTCTCTTTTAATGCTGAATAATATTCCATTGTGTGAATGTATATGTGTATGTGTGTGTGTGTGTGTGTGTGTATACCACATTTTTTTATCCATTCATCTATTTAAGGGCATCTAGATTGGTTCCAGTTTAGCTATTGTGAACTGTGCTGGTATAAATATTGATGTGGCTGTGTCCCTACAGTATGCTGGTTTTTAAAAATTAATTAATTAATTATTTTTATTATTTCTTACATACATCACAATAGAGGAGTGCATTACATTCATAATTTTTTTGCATTGCAATTCTTAATACACATTTATACCACAATTTATCAAACCTCTGTTTGTATATAAGGTATGTTGACACCAAATTCACATCTTCATACATGAATTTTTTTATAATGATGACCATCTCCTTCCACTATCCTTCTATTCCCAATCTCCCTCCCTTTCCCTCCCACCCCTATTCCCTATCTAGAGGTAAACTTCCTCCCTCTCTCTCCCTCCCAACTCCATTTTGAATCACCCCCCTTATATCAGAGAAGACATTCAGCATTTGTTTTTTTGGGATTAGCATAATCTTCTCTAATGTCATTCATTTCCCTGCAAATGCCATGATCAGTATGCTGTTTTTAAGGGGTTTATGGGTGTTGATTTTATATCCTGCTACTTTGCTGAATTAATTTACTAGTTCTAGAAGTCTTCTTGTGGAATTTTTTTGGTCTTCTAGATATAGAATCATATTGTTCGCAAATATGCTAATTTGAGTTCTTCTTTTCCTATCCATATCCCTTTAATTTCTTTCTTCTGTCTAATTTCTGGCCAGTGTTTCAAGAACTATGATAAATAGAAGTGGTGAAAGAGGGCATCCCTCTCTTGTTCCAGTTTTTCGGGGGAATGCTTTCAATTCTTCTCCATTTAGAATGATTTTGGCCTGGGACTTAGTGTAGATATCCTTCATAATGTTGAGATATGTTCCTGTTATCCCTAGTTTTTCTAGTGTTTTGAACATGAAGGGATGCTGTATTTTGTCTAATGCTTTTTCTGCATCTATTGAGATGATCATATGATTCTTATCTTTTAGTCTATTGATGTGATGGATTACATTTATTGATTTCCATATGTTAAACCAACCTTACATCCCTGGAATGAACCCCACTTGATCGTGGTGCACTATCTTTTTTTTTTTTTTAATTTTGGTTGTTGTTGTTGGACCTTTATTTTATTTATTTATATGTGGTGCTGAGAATCAAACCCAGTGCTTCACACATGCTAGGTAAGTGCTCCACCACTGAACCACAACCACATCCTGGTATACAATTTTTTTGATATGTTTTTGTATTCAATTTGCCAGAATTTTGAGAATTTTGCGTTTATGTTCATTAGCGATATTGATCTGAAGTTTTCTTTCTTTGATGTGGTTTTGGAATCAGGGTGATATTGGCTTCATAGAATGAGTTTGGAAGTGCTGCCTCTTTTTCCATTTTCTGAAATAAATTGAAGAGTATTGGTATTAGTTCTCCTTATAGGTCTTATAGAACTCAGCTGTGTATGTATCCGGTCTTGGGCTTTTTTTGGTTGGTAGGCTTCTAATGGCGTCTTCTATTTTATCACCTGATATTGGCCTGTTTAAATTGTGTATATTACCCTTATTCAATTTGGGAAAATCATATGACTATAGAAGTTTGTTGATGCCTTTGATATTTTCTATTTTATTGGAGTACAAGTTTTCTAAATAATTTCTAATTATCTTCTGTGTCTGTGGTGATATTTCCTTTTTCATCATGTATGTTAGTAATTTGAGTTTTTTCTCTCCTTCTCTTTGTTAGCATGGCCAAGGGTCTGTCAATTTTACTTATTTTTTCAAAGAACCAACTTTTTGTTTTGTCAATTTTTTTCAATTGTTTTGTTTCAATTTCATTGATTTCAGCTCTGATTTTAATTATTTTCTGTCTTCTACTGCTTTGAGTGTAGATTTGTTCTTTTTCTTCTAGGACTTTGAGATGTAATGTTTAGTCATTTGTTTGTTGACTTTTTCTTTTAAGGAATGAACTCCATGCAATGAACTTTCCTCTTAGAACTGCCTTCTTGGTGTCCCAGAGATTTCGATGTTGTTTCTGTGTTCTCATTCACATCTAAACATTTTTTAATCTCCTCCTGATGTCTTCTGCAACGCATTGTTTATTCAGTGGTATTATTTAGTCTCCAGGTATTGGAGTAGCTTTAATTTCTTATTTTATCATTGATTTCTAATTTTATTCCATTATGGTCTGATAGAATGCAGGGTAGTATCTCTACTTTCTTATATATGCTAAGAATTGCTTTGTGGCATAGTATATGTTCTATTTTAGAGAAGGATCCATGTGCTGCTGAAAAGAAAGTGAATTTGCTCGTTGAAGGATGAAATATTCTATATATGACTGTTAAGTCTAAGTTATTGATTATATTATAGAGTTCTATAGTTTCTTTGTTCAGCTTTTGTTTGGAAGATCTCTCCAGTGGTGAAAGAGGTGTGTTGAAGTCACCCAAAATTATTATGTTGTTGTCTATTTGACTCTTGAACTTGAGAAGAGTTTGTTTGATGAACATAGATTCTCCATTGTTTGGGGCATATATATTTATAATTGTTAAATCTTGTTGGTATATGGTTCCCTTGAGCAGTATGTTCCCTTGAGCAGTAAGTCCTTCTTTATCCCCTGTTAATTAACTTTGGCTTCAAGTCTACTTTATTTGATATGAGGATGGAAACCCCTGCTTGCTTCCACAGTCCATGTGAGTGGTATTATTTTTCCCAACCTTTCACCTTCAGTCTGTGGATGTCTTTTCCTATGAGATGTGTCTCTTGGAGGCAGCATATTATTGGCTCTTTTTTTTTTTTAATCCAATCTGCTGGTCTATGACTTTTGATTGGTGAGTTTAGGCCATTAACATCCAGGGTTATTATTGAAACATGATTTATATTCTCAGCCATTTTTGTTTATATTTGGTATTTAACTTGACTTGATTTCTTCTCTGATTAGTTTTTCCTTTAGTTTATTTTCCATTTTTAAAAAACGAAGGGACTGGATTGAAGACACGAATGGTGTGACTCTAATTTGTGGACAACCAGAGATATGAAAAATTGTCCTCTAAATGTATAATATGAGTTGTAATGCATTCTGCTGTCATATGTAACAAATTAGAATAAAAAGTAATTTTTAAAAAATGAGGGCACTGAGATTGAGCGAGGTCACATACTACTTGTTTAAGGTTACTTGAACTAGTAAGAAGCTGGGATTCGAACTAACGCCTGCCTGACTTCAAACCCACATCTTAGTGGTTCCCGATTTGAAAGTGTATCATAACCACCTGAAGGGCTTTTAAAACAGAGATGCACAGCCCTGTATGCAGAACTTCAGTGTCAGCAGATCTGGAAGAAAGCCTGAAAATTTGTATTTCTAACAAGTTTCCAGGTGATGCAGAAGGTGCTGGTCCAAAGAATTGCTGTTCTGTTAATCTTTGCACTTTAATCTACAGGTTGGAAGAAATATTGACAGGCCTTCAGCACAGGAGAGACCAGATCATAGACTTTTAGGGATCTCAAGGATCTTTTAAATCTTGTTTCTTTTACAGAGCCTTTTTAAATTTTTTTTATTGATTTTTTAAAAAAATAAATGACAGTGGAGTGCATTACAATTCTTATTACACATATACAGCACAATTTTTCATATCTCTGATTGTATATAAAGTATGTTGACACAAATTCATGTCTTTATACATGTACTTTGGATAATGATGTCCATCACATTTCACCATCCTTGCTAAACCCCTGCCCCCTCCCTCCCCTTTCCACCCCTCTTTCCTATCTAGAGAGTGTTTACAGAGTTTTCTTCTCTGTTTTTTTTTTACAGAGAAGATTAGTGCCTTGCAAGTAGCAATAGGACTAGGACAGGAATCTAGGTCTCACCGTGCTCTAGGATTCCTGCTGCTCTGAACCACTGCATTACAGTGTGTGTGTGTGTGTGTGTTTCTAGTCAGTTTTCTTTTAAGGCTCTGATCCAAGGAAGCTTTGGCTTTCTGCCCTCTCTCCACCCAGTACCCCATCAGGCACTAGAAATTACCATGTCATACCAGAATCTCTCTTTTATCTCTTTAGGCCTTTTAAGCAAGAACCTACTGTTAGTTTTCAGTCAGACAGGAACCCTGGATCCTAGAAGGTAATTGACTTTTAGTCTGATGGCTTGTGGAGTTCACTAATTTTCATAATTTGTCAAGAAAGTACTAGGGCATGTTTCCAGGAAACAAAATCCTTATACCAAGTGGCTAGATGTTCTAAGACATTGGCCCCATCAATTCTGAGACAATATTTCCTCTAATTTCTTAAAGTCCAGATTCCTCATTTTAATTCAATGCCTTCCATTCTTACAAAAGTGGTGTTTTTTTTTAATCTAACAGATATATGTTTTCTGAGGCTCATCCCATGAGTGCATGAATATTTGACCTAACAAATACAGTATTTTCCCCCTCTCCAGAGAGAGAAAGAGAGAGAGAGAGAGAGAGAGAGAGAGAGAGAGAGAGAGAGAGAGAGTAAGAGAGAAAGAAATACTAAGTCCTGGTTTTCTGAATCCAAAAAGCTGGTAATTTAGAGCTAATTTTCTCATTAAAGTTAAATAAATTAGCTGTTTTAAAACCTGTGAATGAGATCTGCTTAACTTATTTGAATAATTATCTTTAAATCAAATACTTGCAATGATGTACTAATAGTGTGACATTTATCTTAATGTGAGATGAAAATATTGAGTGTTAACTTTTAAAAGCTTCAGGAATCTTCATCCTCTCCATAGCAGTAGTCATTTTCACTCTAAAACTAGAGGAAAAGTCTTACTAGGGAAGCAGAGTATTGGAGTGGGAAAGTCACTGAAGAATCAAGGATTCTATTCCTTCTTTTGCTAATGAAGGAAAAAAAACCCACCTCAGAAATTTTAGGCACTTCCCTTGATCACATAGCCAGTAGCAGCTTCTATCTTTTCACTAGAAGCAAGTATGTCTGGTGCTTAATTTAACTTTTGCTACAAATATAATTTTTATTTAGGTATTCTAGGAACTAATGTTGCTAATTATAATTTTGTGGAAGAATCATACAGAAGTAGCTAATAGAGAAGCACACTGTAAGATCCACATCAAATTCTGAGACAACATTATACAATTACTTGAAATTGTACTATCCAGTGGCAAAATTATCAAGCACCAGACGGACTTTCCTCCACATTTGAAAATTAAATCATAACAATGTTAAGTCCAGTGAGTTACCCTCTATGTATAGTAACTTAATATATATCACATCAGGAAATTGATTTTTTTCTTGTATTTTCACAGCAATACTATATTTTCTATGATATTGTCAAGGTATGTCCTATATATTTTTTAAAAAATGATTATCCTCTTCTATATCTTTCCGTAGGTCCTGGAATCTCAAAATATGCTCAGAAATTACAGGAAATAGGTGACTACCTGGCTGAATGCATGGAAAAGACCAGGGACGTGATTCCAGTGTCCAAGCACCATGAGACACCTGTTTACCTGGGAGCCACAGCAGGCATGCGGTTGCTCAGGTATGGCAGCATATAGAGTTCAGAGAGGCAGCACCAGAGCCCCTGAAATTATAAGAGATAACCACACTTCCCTAGCACACCAAATGCTACACATTCTAAAGAAAGAAAATTTCAATAAGTGAGTAAAACTCCCCAAACCTAGTATATATAATATTAAGATTTTGAGTATGTAAAGAAGCTTTGCATCGGCCATGTGGTATGTGCCTGAAATCTGAGCTACTAAGGATGCTGAGAGAGGATGTATGAGGTGATACTGAGGAAATTAAAGAGACCACTTCTCAAAAAAAGCCTTGCCCATTTGCCCATTGTAAACTCAAGTGGGAAAAGACACACAGAGAGAAAGACTGAGCCTATGTGCTCTGAGATTTGGAGACACAGAATTAGTCAATCAATATCTGGGTGTAGGCAGACTAGAGGAGACCCACAGATGTCCCAAGACATTTATAACAAGCACTTTATTGTTCAACACTTGGTCACCTAGTTGCATTATTTGTTTACTTGTTCATTCATCGCTCATGAGTGCCTACTTTGTCCAGAACATGGATGAAGGTGACTCAGCCCCAAGGAAATAGTTCCACCCAGTGTGATCACTTCTTTTACAGAGGAATGATCAGAGCTCCTGTGGGAGCATTTGTCCTGCTCAGGATGAAAGGCCCTCAGAAAGAGGAGATATATGAGCTGAGTCACAAAAGAGGACTTGTCGGGTGAGGGAAGGGTGTTATAGACCAAGTGATAGCACATGTTCAGTAACCCACTGTTATTCAACACCTATTGTGTGTCAGGCACATTTTAAGAGCTGTGATACAGCAATGAAGAGGCAGGGCAAAGTTGCTAACTTGATGCAGTTGGTGTGGAGTTTGTTCTAGGATGTGCAGTGGTGGGGCAATAGGGCATATTCACAGGTCTGTTATTAGCTCTGCAAAGACAGGAGACAGGGTGCATGTTGTAAAATAATAATAGTAGAAGCTAATATTTATTGAGCACTTGCTGTATTCTTAGAAGAATACTAAATTCATGATATACATTGTTTAATGTAATCACCAAAACAACAGTATGAAGTAGAGGATATGATTAACTGTTTATTAACCAGATAAGGAAGCTGTGGCTCACAAATGTTGAGTAACGCCCAAGGTCCCAAGTCTGCCTGGTAAGGGACAGAGCCAGAGTTGTGAATGGGATTCTGAGAAGGCCTTGTAGACCATGTGAAATTTAGAGTTTATCTTGAAGACAGTGGAAACTCACTTAAAAAAGTTACACAATTGGTGATGCTGGTAAAGAAGATAGATTGCAGTGGAGGGAAGCAAGGGTAAAGGAGGCAGGTAGTGGGTATGGGAGGCATTCAGATGAGAGGTTAGAGTTAGAAGGTACATCCTCTCACCGGGAGGCTCTCAGTGTTGCTTAGCCTAGCTCTTAGAAATTGGTGCATCTCATCTTCATTATGACAACCCTGGAAAACTCCTTTCTTAGGTCTCAAATGGACCCAAGAACTGGTGATAGTATGAGGAAGGTATTTCCCAGTTTGGAAGCAGTAGAAGTTGGCTATGTTCCAGGTGACTTGCCACCTGCTTTCTACCACAGTGCAAATTGAAAACCTCAAGTACAGACTAACTTGTGTAACCAACTAGGAGTCACACAATAATTTTATTTAGATATTCTAGGAACTAATATCACAAACATCAGCTCTAGGCATGGAGATGACAAAATACCCAACTACCATGACCACAATCTTTTTAGAACATTTTATTTTTTGAACCAGGGAACAAAAGAGCAAAGATGTTATTTTAGGAAGACTAACCTACTCAAGGATTGGAGAGATTTGAATTAGGTAAGAGGGGACAAAAAGATTAGCTCAGCCTTGTCCTCAAGTAGAGTTCTTCTGTGAGCCGTGTGTGGGGATTCCCGTTCTCCACTTACTCCAGGATGTTTTGGTTTGTTTCTTTCAGCATTATGTGGAAACTATAGTGGGAATGGGTAGGTGTAGTTATTAAGACCAAGATGATAACCTCACCTCTTCTTTGGTGTAGGATGGAAAGTGAACAACTGGCAGACAGGGTCATTGATGCAGTGATAAGGACCCTCAGCACCTACCCCTTTAACTTCCAGGGTGCCACGATCATCACTGGCCAAGAGGAAGGTGCCTATGGCTGGATTACAATCAACTATCTGCTTGGCAGTTTCTTTCAGGTGATCATCTCACATCACCCATGGAAGTGACTCCATGGGGGTCTATGACCTTGCTTTCTCGGGCAATATTTCATCCAGAGTGAATGATGGATGAAAGAGTGCCATAAATTTATTCCCATGTTTGTAAGAATTACTGGAGGAATAGCTGCCTATCAAGACCTTCCTTAGGGAAGTCTTCATCTCTGGGAGTCAGAGGCAAAGAAAGTCTATCATTAAAAGTAAGAGCAGTTAGTACTTGCCTAGTGCTGATTGCTGTGTGCTGTGCTAGCACTTACTTGTGATGAGAGAATTCATCCTCAAACGACAGTCTGAGGTCTTTACAAGACCCCTTGCACCAAGAAATTTAAGAGGACTCTGCCATTTTAGAGGTGGGTGGTAATGCCTAATGAGGGTAATGATTGTGCTCATGGTCACATGATAATAGCTGACTGAGTGGGCAGTTGAACTTGAGTTGGCCTGGTCCTAGACCCCTTGTTTGTAGCAGTTGTTATACTCCTTCTATGTCACAGCAGTGTGTGCATGTCCTCAAAGCCCGTCTCTTTTGTTGTTGATCTGGTGCAGACTCAGGAACCTCTAATGCCCTTTGCCTCACCTTTCTGCCCCTGCTTCTCTGCTTTAGAAATTCCCTGACTCTAAGAAACATGGTGAAAAGTTGGGTGTCCAAACACCTTTAGCACTGTTGACTGTCCTCTTTTTTAGAACTCAGGTTGGTTCAGCGGGATCTCAGAAAAGATGAATCATGAGAAAACATTTGGAGCTTTGGACCTTGGGGGCGCCTCTACACAAATTACTTTTGTGCCTGAAAACCACACTATGGAGTCCCCAGAAAACTCTCTGCAATTTCGCCTGTATGGCAAGGACTACTATGTATACACACATAGCTTCTTGTGCTATGGGAAGGATCAAGCACTCTGGCAGAAACTGGCCAAGGACATTCAGGCAAGTGTAACTGAATTCAGACCTGCCCTTTCCACATCTGGTCCTCCATCCTTCACATCCTGTTATTTTCTCTTTCTAATTCTGTAATTGGTCTGAAGTTGGTTATTGTACTTTCCAAACCCTTTCAGGCAGGATACCAAGCTACATCTGGTGGACCCCTATGAATTCTTCCATCCAGACATCCCCTCCTGTGTTTGTTTACTGCACTATCTCCAAGGAAACCACATATTTTTTTTTTCCTTAGCAATTAATTTCTCACCCCTGAAGGATTGGTAATGAAAGCTGCATGCTAGAGTATCATTCAGGGGTAGGGTGTTGCAATTTATAAGCAAATGGTCTTCTATGCCATTTTTTATTTCCCTTTTCTACAAAGTACAGAAAACAGGGTTGTTTGGAATGACCTGGAGAGGAAGAGAAAAAAACACTTCAGGAAAAACACAGAATTTATTAATCAACACATCAAATCTTATTACCTTATGCTTTTTATATTTTTGAAGGCAAGAAAAGTTAAATGCTCCACATCAGTAGAGTACCAGGCACACCCTGACAAATAAACACAGAGCAAGGTTGTCATATCCAGCTGGTCTCTGTCTTTGTTGAAAGAACAACCAGTTCTCTATTTTCCCCCAAAGCACTCTCTGATTCTCAAAACTGCTATCAGTAAGAAGACTATCAGTAAGAAGAGTAGATGCCACTGAGTATAGCCCATTGAGCCTCAGAGTTCCACTAAATTTCTTATCCACAGCCACCCAATTTCTTCTCTGTGGGGTTGAAGGTTAAAAATCATTGGATTTGGGCTAGGGCTGGGGTTCAGTGGTAGAGCACTTGCCTACCATGTGTGAGGCACTGGGTTTGATTCTCAGCACCATACATAAATAAATAAAATAAAGATTAAAAAAAATCACTGGATTCTATTGGTTTAAAAGACCTAACACATGTTCCACCTTTTGGAGTTTCTGATTCTCTGCTTAGGGAGGTAAAGAGCCTCAGGCTCAATTTTTGGGAGTCTTGAGAATTTCCCTGGGGAATCTTCTTCCAACATATATAATTTAGGCCTAAGAACTCCAAGGCATTCCCAGCTAATGACATTACTGGGTCCAGCTTTAACAATATCAGCATCCTATAAATTCCCCAGGTACAGTCACATCTGGTACCACTTCTGGTGCATGCAATAGAAACTTTTTTAACACTTATTTTTATTGGTAAAAAACTCAGGGAGAGATATAATGATGCCAGTTCTATGTGCTATCATTTTCTACTATGCCTACACAATAATGAAGTCAGATTGTGGCTTTTGTACCCCAACATTCACAGGATTCCTTCAAGTGATTTTTTTCATTCAGGTGTCAAGTGATAGAAGCCTCAGGGACCCATGCTTTCACACGGGGTATAAGAAGGTTGTGAACGTAAGTGACCTTTACAAGACCCCTTGCACCAAGAAATTTAAGAGGACTCTGCCATTTGATGAGTTTCAAATCCAGGGTACTGGAAACTATGAACAATGCCAGCAAAGCATTCTTGAGCTCTTCAACACTGGTGACTGCCCTTACTCTCAGTGTGCCTTCAATGGGATTTACTTGCCACCAATCCAGGGAAATTTTGAGGTAAGTTTGTGAAATGATGAGGTATATTGGCTAGAAGGATTTTGGTTGAAGTTTATAAAATATAAGAGACTTTCTTATAAGTGTCACAGAAAGAGCTCCCTGGAGACAGCACAGGACTGATTGTACCCAGACCTGACTTAAGTCTTGGGTTTTTGGGAAACTTTTGAGCTCCTCATTCCTTTGGTCTCTGGGAAAGCAGCAGGAGGTAGTGCCATGGATCCAGGCTTACTTTAATCATGGCCCAACCACAGCTTCCCTCTCCAGAATCCTGAGGAAAGTACATCACAGGAAAACCACTGGCAGAGCAATAGCTTTGGTTATTAGTTGGCTCCAACCTCCAGTTCAGAACAAACTAGAACCTCATTTGGATACTCTGTAACTGAGCTGGCATTGGTTGCCCACCATGGGATTTCTTGGGCCAGGGTCCTCCTTTGCCTGAATCAAACTTCTGGAGGAGGAAGGAGGGTACCACAAGAGGAAGGCAAGTGGTGAGGGCAGCTGGAGACAGCCAAGGGCCTGTTTAACTCCAGTCACTGCTAGGAAGTAAATGTAAAGGAAAAGGAACATACCCTCTTTAAGGAGTTGACGTTTTAATGTCTCTGAATGCTTTGCCTCCTGGGAAACATGGCTTAATTCCTGCCTTCAACATAGAGCAAACCCTTCTTCCTTGAGGGAATGGAATTTTTTGCCTCTGAATGTGATTTCTGCAATCCAGGTAGGGAGAAGTAATGGCTGGAAAAGGTGGTGGGCCCTTGAGCTCCCCCTAGAGGCTTTTATGTTTGTTTTCTTGGTCTCTTGTTGAGATTGTTCTGACTTCTAAACCTTTATTTGGTAGCCCCCTTGGATTAGCTCATTGTCTCCCTCTGCATAGCCTGTTTCTTCTCTGGATACATCCCTCAGGGTCACTGTCTGATACTTACCCATGCTTTGGAAATTTTTTTCCATTTCAGATATTTTTTTGGGGGGAAGCGGTCCTCTTTGTAAATATATATATATATTTTAAATTAGGAACTATATTCCCTGTTTAATTGGCACTTGGTTATGAGCAATGGATATGCTGGACAAGTGGTTACTGGGGATGGAGAGCTGATTTGTACCATTTGCCAATTTCCATAGTGTAAATATTCCCATCCCAGTCTATTTCTGCCTCCCAAACTGACATGAACTACATCACAAAAATCCTGAAGTTTTCATGTTCAGCTCTTGCATGTCACTGTCAGCTCAGAACTCCACTGCAGCAGATGTCAAGTGGGCCCTAGCATCAGGGAGGCGCTGACAGAGCTTAGCTCTTTCTCCTAGCAGTCCTCTCGCCACACTGAAGTTCTTTAGAAGTTCTGAGGACTGATTTGGAACAAATCATCTTCCATGCATGTATAAAGTGTGAAAATGAATCCTAATGTTATATATAACTATTATATATATATAAATAAACTATTATGAAGTGGTAAAAATAATTTTAAAAGAAAAAGTTCCCTTGGGCTGGGGCTGAGGTATTTTCAAATTATCTCAAATATAAAAAGAAAATTTACTTATGATTGGACCCATGCAGTTTAAATTTGTGTTGTTCAAAGGTCAACTGAATACATGTATGTGTATTTAGCTCTTAAGCCTCATTGAAGTAAATGAGAAAAATAAGGCTGCAAGCAGTTCCTTCAAGAATTAGCTTTAGCCGGGTGCAGTGGCCCATGTCTATAATCTCAGTGACTTGGGAATCTGAGGCAGAAGGATCCCAAGTTCAAAGCCAGTCTCAGCACTAAGCAACTCAGTGATATGCTGCTTCTAAATAAAATACAAAATAGGTCTGGGATGAGGCTTAGTGGCTAAATGCCCCTGAGTTTAATCCCTAGTACTCACCCCTGCCCTCCACCAAAAAAAAAAAAAAAAAAAAGAATTAGCTTTAAGTCCATTCTGGCAAAAGATATTGAATGGCTTGAGTCCTCAAAGTCTTACTCTAAGCATAGGATCAGGTTGATTTTTTTATAATACAAGATACATTTAAGAAGGAAAAAATACCCTAAGCACTACCATCCCATCCCATCCCATCAGCACATTATTTGAGGGGGGTAGTACCAACCCATGTTTGTGCAAATAATAATTCATTATAGAAGAAACTTTTCCCAGGGATTTATGAGGCTGAGGTTGTCTTAGGTATTAATGCAATATCTGGTGGGTTTCTGAAGAACATATACAGAAAAGAAAACTATCACTTAAGCTGCATCACATGAAGACTTTCAGTGAAGGTTGTCAGGTAGATGGAATGAAAAAGTAAATGAACATGAATGTAAATGAACTTGTCCCAGAGCAAAGGAAGAGAGTAAGTGATCTTATTCTGCTGCACAACTGCCTAAATGAACATATCCCAGTTCACCATTAGGATTTGCTCTTGAACCTAAGGCTGGATTTCTACTGTGACTACAGGAAATACCTTATTGGTTTTGGAGGAAATATAAAAGTAACATAATTATCACAGAACATTTAAAAAATATAAAAAGAAGCAATTTAATCATTGCTTTAAATTTGACTCAGGTATTTTTAATCATGAGACTATATTTATTGTATTTTCTATTCCCATATAATGGCATTATTATATTATTGTATATTGCATATTTGATTCTATTTGATTCTATACTCTGCACATCCAAGGCAGGACCTAGTAGCAAAATAATGAGGCTGTCTGAACCAGCCATTTTTCTCTTTTACTTTTATTTTGTATGTGGTGTGTGTGATGAAATATTCACAATGTAATATTTACCATTTTAACTATTTGGTAAATATTACAACTATTTTCAAGTGTACAATTCTGTGGCAGTAAGCACTTGCACATTGTTGTACAATCATCTTCACTACCTAGCACCAGAACTTTTTCATCTTCTCAAAATGAAGCTCTGTACCCATTAAATAAAACATCCCCTTCCTCTTCCTCATCCTGCTCAGCTTCTGCTGCCACTATTCTGCTTTCGGAATGAATTTCACTATGCCAAATGCCATCATATAAATGGAATCATGCAATATCTGTACATTTGTGACTGACTTTTTTTCACTTCGCATAATGTCTTCAAGATCACAGGACTGTTGTGAGAATCTGTCTGATGAAAGCTAACACTCTTCCAAGCAGAAAAATAGACATGTGAAGGTAGATCAGTAATTTTGAATATAATTTAAAAGACATCCTTAAAAAATAAAAAAAATATCTCGGTGTGGTGATATACACTTGTAATCCCAGCAGCTTGGGAGCCTGAGGCAGAGGAGGATCACAAGTTCAAAGCCACCTTTAGCAACTTAGGCCCTAAGCAACTTAGCAAGACCCTGTCTCAAAATAAAAAAGGGCTAGGGATGTGGTTCAGTGGCCCTGGTTTAAATCCCTGATACCAAAAAATAAAAAATAAAAAAATAAATGCCTCTTAATCTTTTGAGTTATATATATGATCCCCAGTTTATAATCCCTTAACATACACCAAAAAACACATAGAAAATATATATTAAAATCAAACTGTGAGTCTAAGGAAGACTGTGGTTAGGGGTGAATGCTTCCACCCATATCAGGAACCAAATCTATTTGGAAGTATGCATGGCAGATTCCTACACATAAGTGAGAGACAGAATACCTAAAATTGATACTGCCCCTACCTCTAAAATTATTCTTGCCAGGGCAGAGCCAACCTCCTACTCAGTAATGGAAGCAGATATGTCATACTATCAATATGTTTTGATTTGACCTTTGGAAAATGATTTAACAAAACCCCTTTTATTCCTTTATTGATAAATTTGGCTTTGTGTTAGCTTTCTGATTTTGTTAGAGAAAACAACTTAGAGTTGAGTAATCAAGTTAGGATGAGGAAGAGAGTGGGGACATGGCAAGTAGTTTGAGACAGGATTTCATATAAAACTATGAGGTCTGTTTCTTTTTTTCCCCTGGCTACAAATGCATCATTTAATTTATATTTGAAAGTACTGTCAATGTGTTTTCATTTGATCTTTGGAAAGTGATTCAACAAAACCTTTTTTATTTCTTCATGGACAAATTTAGCTTTGTGTAAACTTTCTGATTTTGTTTCCCTGGAAACCTGATAAAAGTGGAATGTTGTTACATTAGTGGATTACTGTTTAGACTAGAAATGGAAGCAAAATCAAGCTAAAAAAAAGAAGTCAAAGAAAAATCAAAGAAAGAAGGAAAAGAAAAGGAAAATTCTTAAAAATGGTACTATGCACACAGTTATTTTTGTTAAATTAGATAAATATTATGTATGTATATGATTTTTAAAAAATAATTTATCTTAAGAAACTGTCATTGGGTTTATTTTAGCTAGGATTGAAGCATATGGCTTGTTTGCAGCAGGAATGCCTTGCAAATGGCATCTTTGCTCTTCTATGAACCAAAAATGAGCTCCCAGAGGGATCAAGTCAGTGTTCCTATGTGTTGGGCAGAACCTAAAAGTCTGCAATTTTCTCTTATAGGCATTTTCAGCTTTCTACTTTGTGATGAATTTTTTTAACTTGACATCAGAAAAGGTCTCTCAGGAAGAGGCAATTAGGAAAATAAGAAACTTCTGCTCTCAGCCTTGGAATGAGGTAAGTACCTAGAGACTGCAGCCCTTACAGTTGCACTGTACCCCTGGCAGCTTGGAGGATGTGAATCTGCTCCTGACCTTGTCCTGCCCTGACCAAGATCTAGAAAATGTGTCAGATAAGCCCAGATGGTGGGCTCAGGAATGCATTTACCAACATTCCTTGATAACTTGACATACAATGTCTTATGTAAGATCTTGTGTTTCTTACCTACTGTGAAGTCTGATAGCAAGCAGCTGCTGGCATGGGGTTAGCAGTTCATCTATGTCTCAGTCATTGCACCTGCAGTTCTATTGTCATGTCTATGTCCTCATGGACACAGGGTGGCTGCTATGGCATCTTGGTTCAAGATCAGAAATAGATAAAACCAGATGCATCTGTTCCTTATCACAGGAAAAGCTATTGCAGACGACCTTCAGCAGTCTTTCCTGTATTTAAAAAAGTTCTTCTATTATTAAGTTTTATTTTTGATTGATACATAGTAACTGTACACTTTATGAGGTACCATGTGATATTTCAACATGTATGCAACATATATGTATTGTACACTGATCAGGATATTGAGCATATCTTTCCTCTTAAACTGTATCACTTGTTGGGGTGAGAACATTCAAAATACTCTTTTCTAAATTTTTTTAAATACACATCCATTGTTGTTAACTATAGTCACCTGTGTGTGGCAACATAGCATCAGAACTTATTCCTTCTAACCGTAATAAGGTACCCATTTACAAACTTCTTCCTAGTCCTCTCTGCCCACTACATCCTCCAGGCTTTGGTAACCACTATTCCTTGTCTCAACTCAGTGAAATTAACTTTTTTATATTCCACATGATTGAGGTTATGCGATATTTATCTTTTTGTGTTTGGTTTATTTAACTTAACATAATGTCCCCCAGATTCATCCACATTGTCCCAAATGACAGAATTTCTTGCTTCTTATGACAAACTAGTGTCCTAGTGTGTGTGTGTGTGTGTGTGTGTGTGTGTTATAGTCTTTAGCCACTCATCCATTAATGGATACTTACACTGATTCCCTATCTTGGTTATGGTGAATAATGCTGCAATAATTACTGTGACTTAAGGTATCTTTTTGATATACTGATTTAATTTTTTGGGGGGTATACACTCAGTAGTGGAATTGCTGGATCAGATGGCACTTCTATTTTTAATTTTTTGAGGAGAGCACAATGCCATTGCCTGCTTCCCCCGACCTCATCAGACACCCTGGCACTGGAAGCAAACTGCCTCCATCCTGGTTCACCTTTCTCACCATATTTGGTGGGAGCAGCTCCCAGATCGGATGAGAGATCTGGTCATGAGAGATCTTGGAACCCTACAGAGCTGGAAAGGAAGACACATGAGCAACATGAAAAGACAAGGGAAGAAAGTGCCCCAAACAAATCAAGATACCACATCATTAGAATCATTGGCAGTCACAGCTGGAGAAATTACAAAGAAGGAGTTCAGGATGTACATGTTTAAATGTTCTGTGAACTCAAGGAAGTTATAAAAGAGCAAATACAGGCAGTGAAAGATCACTTCGACAAGGAGCTACATAAACAAATATAAGAAGCAAAAGATAACCTCAACAGGGAGAGAGAGGTTCTAAAAAAAGAACTAAAAAGAAATCATTTAAATCAAAGAAACAGTAAACCAAATTAAAAGCTCAAATGAAAGCATCACCAACAGAGTAGACTACTTGGAAGATAGGACATCAGACGAGGAAGATAAAATATACAATCTTGAAAAGAACATAGACCCACATAGTGATAATGGTAAGAAACCATGAGCAGAACATTCAAGAAATATGGGATAGCATCAAAAGACCAAATTTAATAGTTATTGGCATAGAGGAAGGCATAGATGTCCAAACCAAAGGAATGAACAATCTATAAAATGAAATAATATCAGAAAACTTTCCAAACATGAAGAATGAATTGGAAACCCAAATTCAAGAAGCCTACAGGATGCTGAATGTACAAAATCATAACAGATCCGCACCAAGGCACATTATAACAAAAATGCCCAACATATAGAATGAGTAGAGAATTTTAAAAGCCACGAGAGAAAGGAATCAAATTATATATATGGGAAACCCAAGTAGGATAATGGCAGATTTTTTAACACAGACCCTGAAAGCTAGAAGATCCTGGAACAATATATATCAAGTTCTGAAAGAAAATGGGTGCCAACCAAAATCTAGTATCCAGCAAAATTAAGCTTTAGATTTGAAGATGAAATAAAAACCTTCCCTGATAAGCAAAAGTTAAAAGAATTTATAGCTAGAAAAACATCACTATAAAACATCCTTGGAAAAATATTCCATGAAGAGGAAACGAAAAACAATAATGAAAATCAACAGAGGGAGGTAGTACCCTAAAGGAAAAACTAATCAAAGAAGAAAACTAAGTCAAGTTAAATAACAAAAATAAACAAATATGGCTGAGAATACAAACCATGTCTCAATAACTCTGAATGTTAATGGCTTAAACTCACCAATCAAAGGCATAGGCTACCAGATTGGATTTTAAAAAATACTCAACAATATGCTGCCTCCAGGAGACTGATCTGATAGGAAAAGACAAATACAGACTGAAGGTAAAAGGTTGGGAAAAATCATACCATTCATATGGACTGTGGAAGCAAGCAGGAGTTTCCATCCCCATAACAAATAAAGTAAACTTCAAGCCAAGGTTAATCAAGAGAGATAAAGGTGGAAATTACATACAGCTCAAGGGAACCATACACCAACAAGACATAACAATCATAAATATATATGCCCCAAACAATGGAGCATCTATGTTTATCAAACAAATTCTTCTCAAGTTCAAGAGTCAGACTGACCACAACACAGTAATCTTGGGTGACTTTAACACACCTCTCTCACCACTGGATAGATTTTCCAAACAAAAGTTTAATAAAGAAACTATAGAACTCAATAATACAATCAGTAACTTAGACTTAACTGACATATACAGAATATTTCATCCTTCAACGAGCAAATACACTTTCTTCTCACCAGCACATGGATCCTTCTCTAAAAGAGATCATATACTATGCCACAGAGCAACTCTTAGCAAATACAAAAAATACTATGCATTTTATCAGATCATACTGGAATGAAATTGGAAATCAATGACAAAATAAAAATTACTCCACCACCTGGGGACTAAACAATAGGCTACTGAATGAACAATGGGTTACAGAAGATATCAAGGAGGAGATTAAAAATTCTTAGAGATATATGAGAACATAGACACAACACATCAAAATCTCTGAGACACTATGAAAGCAGTACTAAGAGAAAAGTTCATTGCATGGAGTTCATTCCTTAAAAGAAGAAAAAGTCAACAAATAAATGACTTCACATTATATCTCAAAGCCCCAGAAAAAGAAGAACAAATCAACAGCAAAAGCAGTAGAAGCAAGAAATAATTAAAATTAGAGCTGAAATCAATGAAATTGAAACCAAAAGAAATAATTGAAAAATTGACAAAAACAACAAAAAGTTGGTTCTTTGAAAAAATAAATAAAATTGGCAGACCCTTAGCTATGCTAACAAAGAGAAGGGAAAAGAAAACTCAAATTACCAGCACATGTGATAAAAAAGGTAATATCACAGCAGACACTACAGAAATACAGAGGATAATTAGAAATTATTTTGAAAACTTATACTCCAATAAAATAGAAGACATTGAAGGCATTGACAGATTTCTTAAGTCATACAATTTGCCCAGATTGAACCAGGAAGATATACACAATTTAAACAGACCAATAACAAGTGATTAAATAGAAGACACCATCAGAAGCCTACCAACCAAGAAAAGCCCAGGACCGGATGGATACACAGCCAAGTTCTACAAGACCTTTAAAGAAGAACTAATACCAATGTTCTTCAATTTATTTCAAGAAATAGAAAAAGAGGCAGCACTTCCAAACTCATTCTATGAGGCCAATATCACCATTCCAAAACCAGGCAAAGATACATCAAAGAAAGAAAACTGCAGATCAATATCACTAATGAAAATAGATGCAAAAATTCTCAATAAAATTCTGGCAAATCAAATACAAAAACATATCAAAAAGATCATACACCACAATTAAGTAGGGTTCATCCCAGGAATGCAAGGTTGGTTCAACATACGGAAATCAATAAATGTATTTCATCACATCAATAGACTCAAAGATAAGAATCATATGATCATCTCAATAGACACAGAAAAAGCATTTGACAAAATATAGCACCCTTTCATGTTTAAAACACTAGAAAAACTAGGGATAACAGGAACATATCTCAACATTGTAAACACTATATGCCCCAGGCCAACAGCATTCTAAATGGAGAAAAATTGAAGGCATTCCCTCTAAAAATTGGAAGAAAGGGATGCCTTCTTTCACCATTTCTATTTAACATAGTTCTTGAAATACTGGCCAGAGCAATTAGACAGACAAAAGAAATTAAAAGGATACGTATAGGAAAAAAAGAACTTAAAATTAGCACTATTTGCTGACAATATGATTCTATACCTTGAAGACCCAAATATTCAACCAGAAAACTTGTAGAACTAGTAAATGCATTCAGCAAAGTAGCAGGATTTAAAATCAACACCCATAAATAATAGGTATTTCTGTATATCAATGACAAATCCTCTGAGAGGGAAATGAGGAAAACTATCCTATTTACACTAGCCTAAAAAAAAAATTTGGGAATCAACTTAACAAAAGAGGTGAAAGATCTATACAATGAAAACTACAGAACCCTAAAAAAAGAAATCAAAGAAGACCTTAAAAGATAGAAAGATCTACCTAGCTCCTGGATAGGCAGAATTAATATTATCAAAATAACCATACTTCCAAAACCACTATACAGATTTAATGCAATTCTGATCAAAATACCAATGGCATTTCTCATAGAAATAGAAAAAGCAATCATGAAATTCATCTGGAAAAATAGGAGACCCAGAATAGCTAAAGCAATCCTTAGCAGGAAGAGTAAAGCA